ATATTCTCCTTGCCATGCTAAAAGATAAGGATTTAAACTGCCCGATGAACAAAAAAACACACTCAATGTAAATAATGTGACTGGAATGTAAATTTTGCAGTCTAGACAACAGCTGTATTTATGCTGTACAGAAGACAGAGGTCAATTGATAATCTGACATTATATAAGCTTGCTGGTAACTATTGTCTATTGAGAGGCATATATCTGTCAGACTTGTTATAATACTTGTAATTAGTATATTTTTATGTAATTACTTTTATGAAAAACTCACATTCCACAATTAATATATAGCATCATGAACAAATAACTTATCAATTTACAAAAATCATGTGTTAAATGATATAAATTCCTAATTTCATTGTGGTTTAACTCATACTGTTCAATTCTGATGTACAATCTGGATGTCACTATCTTTAGGCTTAATGCATTTACCCAATATTATAACCTCCATAATGTTTCAAAGCGTTTACCTTGTTTAGAGTAACTGAATTTGTGTCTCCATTGAAATAGTTGAGGCACTCATTTTGTTACAATGTCCCATTAGGGGTTTTTTAACCATTTGTGATGCTTTCCATTTAATAGAAGGAACTTACATTTCATCTGAAAAGAGTAGCATAATCTTTACTTTCCATTAAATACAGTAGAGAGAGTTTTACTCCACATCTAACCCCATGCTGTCCCAGATTTTGATGGGAACAGTGTACAGGAAGCTTTAGCTTAAATTTTCTTTATTCACTTATGGGACATGGGTATCACTAGCTGAGCTAGCATTTATTGCCCATCTCTAATTTCCCTCAAGAAGTGCTGGTGAGCTGTCATCTTGAACTGCTGCAGTCCACATGCTGTAGGTTGACCCACAATGCCCTTGGGGAGGGGATTTCAGAATTTTGACCCACCGACAGTGAAGGAATGACAATATATTTTAAAGTCAGGATGGTGGGTAGCCTGGAGCGAACTTGCAGGTGGTGGTGTTCCTAGGTATCTGCTGCCCTTTTCCTTCTAGTTGCAAGTGGTCATGGGTTTGGAAGATGCTGTCTGAGGATCTGCAGTGCATCTTGTAGATGGTACACACTGCTGATGCTAAGCGTCAGTGGTGGAGGGAGTGGATGCTTGTGGATGTGGTGCCAGTCAAGTGGGCTGCTTTGTTCTGGATGGTGTTAAGCTTCTTGAGTGTTGTTGGAGCTGCACTCATCCAGGGAAGTGGGGAGTATTCCATTACACTCCTCACTTGTGCTGTGTAGACGATTGGAAAGCTTTTGGGGAGTCAGGAGGTATTTGCCACAGTATTCCCAGTCACTGACTTGCTCTTGTAGCCACTACATTTATATGGTGAGCCTAGATGAGTTTCAGGTCAATGGTAACCCCCAGAATTTTGATAGTAGGGAATTCAATGATGGTAACACCATTGAATGCCAATGGGTGGTGGTTAGGTTATCTCATATTGGTGTTGGTCATTGCCTGGCATTTGAGTGGCATGAATGTTACTTGCTACTTGTCAGCCCAAGCTGGGATATTGTCCAGATCTTGTTGCATTTGAACATGGATTGCTTCAGTATCTGTGGAGTCACAAAAGGTGCTGAACATTGTGCAATCATCGGCAAACATTCCCACATCTAACCTTATGATGGAGGGAAGGCCATTGATGAATCAGCTGAGGCTGGTTGGGCCTAGACACTATCCTGAGGAACTCCTGCAGACATGTCCTCGAGCTAAGAAGACTGACCTCCAACAACTACAACCACCCTCCTATGTGTCAGGTATGACTCCTATCACTCGAGAGTTTGCTCCAGGTACACATTGATTCCAGTTCTGCTCGGACTCCTTGATGCCACACTCAGTCAAATGTGGCCTTGATGTCAAGGGCTGTCACTCTCCCTTCTGGTATTCAGCTCTTTGTCCATGTTTGAACCAAAGCTGAGGTCAGGAGCTGAGTGGCCCTGATGGAACTCAAACTGGGTGTCACTGAGCAGGTTATTGCTGAACAAGTGCCGTTTGATAGCACTGTTGATGATGCCTTCCATCACTTTACTGATGGTTGGGAGGAGACTGATGAGGCAGTAAGTGGCCAGGTTGGATTTGTCCTGCTTTTTACGTACAGGACATACCTGGACAATTTTCCACATTACGAGTGTTATAACTACAGGATATGCAGGGCCATAAGGTTGCATATTGTGCTGGAGCACAATTCTGTTGCTGTTGATGGTCCACAGCCTTGAGTTGCTAGATCTGTTCAAAGTCTATCCTATTTTACACAGTGATAATGCCACACAACACAATGGAAGGTATTGTCAATGTGAAGGCGGGACTTCTGTCTCTCTTACTGGTACTGTCATGGATAGCTGCATCTGCAGCTGGCAATTGGTAACAATGAGGTCAAATATATTTCTCCATCACCACCTGCTGTAGACCCAGTCTAGTAGCAATGTCCTTTGGGACCTAACCAGCTGAATCAGTAGTTCTGCTGCTGAGCCACTCTTGATAGTGGACATTGAAATCCCCCACCCAGAGTACATTTTGCATCTTTGCCACCCTCAGTGCATCCTCCAAGTGTTGTTCAACATGGAGGACTACCGATTCATCAGCTGAGGGAGGATGATACATGGTATTCAGCACGAAGTTTCCTTGCCCATGTTTAACTTAAAGCCATGAAACTTCATAGGGTCCTGAGTCAATGTTGAGGACTCCCAGGGCAACTCCCTCTGACTGTATACCACTGTGCTGCCACCTCTGCTGGGTCTGTCCTGCCAGTGGGACTGGACATATCCAGGAATGGTGATGGTGGTGTCTGGGATATTACCTGTAAGGTATGATTCTGTGAGTTTGACTATGTTGAGCTGTTGCTTGACCAGTCTGTGAGACAGATCTCCCAGATGTTCATAGGAGGACTGTGCAGGGTGAACAGAGCTGTTTCTGCCATTGTCTTTTTTGGTGCCTAGGTCAAAGCCAGGTGGTCTGCCCATTTTCATTTCTTTATTGCGACTTTGTGTAACTGATACAACTGAGTGGCTTGCTAAGCCATTTAAGAGGGCATTTGAGAGTTCAACCATGTTGCTGTTGGTCTGGAGTCACAGGTAGGCCAGACCAGCTGAGGATGGCAGATTTCTTTCCCTGAAGGACATTAGCGAATGAGATAGGTTTTTCTGATAATCGACAACGGTAGTTTCAGTAGATTCTTAATTCAACATTTTTTTTACTCTATTTCAAATTCAATCCTCTGCCGTGGTGAGATTAAAACCCAGGTCCCCAGAACTTTAGTTGGGTTTCTGGGTTAATAATCTGGTGATAATACCACTAGGCTATTGCCTCCACTAAAAGAGTAGAGAAAGCTTTACTCTCTATCTAACCCTGTGCTGTCCCTGTCATGGGAGCATTTGATGGGGACATTTGAAATGTTCTTTTTCCTCTTCTCCTGTTTGGGTCACCAGAAGGGGCAGGACAAATGCCAGGACAACTTTGAGAGCCCTACTCCTAGAACATAATTGAAAATGGACTGGAAATTCCGAGGAAAACTCACCTTCCAACTTCCATTTTGTTTCTGGTGAGAAAAATTACCATTCTAAATAGCCAGATAGGGAACTCATTTGTGATGAATCACATCCTAAATTCAGAGTTCCTAATTCCTTCCTTCGTTTTTTATGTCATAAATGCAACCTGCTGTAACAACCAGATGAGTTCTTAAGTCCTAACTTCATTTTTTTTAATCTCATACCCTTACGTTCACCTGCACATGAACTTTTTCTACCAATTATCATAGAGTCATAGAGTCATACATCACGGAAACAGACCCTTCAGTCCAACCAGTCCACACCAACCATGTACCCAAACTAAACTAGTCCCAGCTTCCTCGATTTGACCCATATCTCTCCAAACCTTTCCTAATCATGTACTTATCTAAATGCTTTTTAAACGTTGTAACTGTACCCACATCTACCAATTCCTCTGGAAGTTCATTCCACACACAAACCACTCTCTGTGTAAAAAAGCTGCCCCTCATATCTTCTTTAAATCTTTCTCCTCTCACCTTAAAAATATACTCCCCAGTCTTGAAAAGCCCCACACTAGAAAAAAGACACCTGCCATTCACCTTATCTATGCCCCTCATGATTTTATAAACCTCTATAAGGTTGCTCCTCGACGTCCTACACTCCAGTGAAAAAATTTCCAGCCTATCCAATCTCTCCTTATAACTCAAACCCTCCATTACCTGTAACATCCTGGAAAATCTCTTCTGAACCCTCTCCAGCTTAATAATACCCTTCCTGTAACTGGATGACCATAACTGGACACAGTAGCCCAGAAGAGTCCTCACCAACATCTTCCTCAAACTCAACATAACATTCCGACTCCTATACTTACAGGTCTGAGCAATGAAGACAAGCATTATAAACATCTTTTTAACCACCCTATCTATATGTGATGCAAACTTCAAAGTATTATGTACCTGAACCCCTAGGTCCCTCCATTCTACAACACTACCCAAGGTCCTACTTTTAATTATGTAAGCCCTTTTCTTGTTTGTTTTACCAAAATGCAATACCTCACATTTATCCAAATTAAACTGCACTTGCCACTCCTCAGTCCATTGACCCAATTGATCAAGATCTCATTGTAATCTTAGTTAACCTTCTTCACTGTCGACTATACCACCAGTTTTGGGGTCATCTGCAAACTTACTAACCATGCCTCTATTCTCATCTAAATCACTTACATAAATGACAAACAACAGAGGACCCAGCACCGATCCCTGTGGAACAACTCACCACCATCACTCTCTGTCTCCTGCCATAAAGCCTATATTTTATCCAATTGGCAAGCTCTCTCTGGATCCCATGTGATCTAATTTACCAATTAGTCAACCATGCGGAACCTTGTCAAAGGCTCCACTAACGTCCAATCCGTTTCAATGTTACTGAAAAGCCACAGGGGTCATTTCAGAGTGTGCTTGATGCCCACTCCCACTTGTCAAGTTATGGTCATGGTTGCTGTACATTTCTCTGTACCTTCTCGGGGATAGGCTGCTGAAGCTGATTAACATCCAGAGGGGTTATCAGAGGGATGTTATCAAACCCATCGTCTGCACTGTGCTCTTTCTCTGCCTTCTCAGAGAGGTTACATCCAGGCTTCACCATGTCTGGCTGGGGTGACAAAAACAGCCTGAAAAAGAGAAGAAAAGATAATGAGGAACTTCTGATAAAGAAACTTGTGTTTTAGCAATTATCAAACAGCCCATTCGTAGTCCTACAATATAAAGGCGGTGTTTTTAATTCAGTAAAGAGCTTTCAGGTGGCCTCAGAAAAGGAGACAATTGCAGGTGCTGGGAATCTGAAAGATTAATTCTGTTTCTCTCTCCACAGAGGTTGCTTGACTCTCTCAGTTATTTCTAGCACCTTCTCTTTTCATTTCAGGGCCAGTTCAGAATCCTTTTTGGATGTCCTATCCTATGAAGTCAGACTTCTAGAGGTGGAGTTTAACACCTCCTCCCACCTCATGTTTGGAGGCAGTGGGAGCATTTAATTAATTCTCTATTAAGAAGATTGCTTTGTCCAGGATGGTGTGGAACTTCTTGAGTGTTTCTGGAGCCGTGCCTCAACCATGCAAGTGGAGATTATTCCATTATACTCCTGACTTGTGTCTCCTAGATGGTGGAATGGATTTTTAGAGACAGGAGGAGAGTTACTTGCTGTAAGATTCTTAACCTTGGACCTGCTCTTGCAGGCACCGTATTGATATTACAAGTTCAGTTCAATTTCTGGTCAATGGTAAGCCAGGGAAAGCTGATAGTGGGGAATCACCATTGACAGGCACGGAGTGGTGGTTAGATTCTCTCTTGTGGAGGTGGTCATTGCCTGGCTCTTTTTCTGGTGCAAATGTTACTTGCCATTTGTCAGCACAAGCTTTATTGTCTAGTTCTGAATGCAGATGGACATGGGCTGCTTCAATCCATAACGAGTCGCAAGTGCTGCTAAACATTGTGCAATCATTGGTGAACATCCCCACGTCAGACATTCTGATGGAAGGAAGGTCATTGGTGAAGCAGCTGAACATAGCTGAGCCTAGGACATTAACCTGAGGAACTCCTGATTGGCCTGCAACCACAACAAGCATCACCCTTTCTGCCTGACAACAACCAACAAGGAGCTTTCCCATGGAATCCATTTCTGGTGGCCACATTACCAGCAGCAGTAACCACATCAAGGGCTGGTGATGGCAATGAAGAACTGTTAACCTCTGATTGGCTGGCAGCTCTCAAGATGGGATTCCATTCCTAGAGTCCTAAAAGTGCAGGGATCACGCGGTGCTGGCCAACTGAGTTCCTGATGGGGGCTTAGGAGTCATAGAGAGTCATAGAGATGTACAGTATGGAAACAGACTCTTTGGTTCAACTCATCCATACCAACCAGGTATCTAGTCTAAATTAATCTAGTCCCATTTGCCTACTTGGCCCCTATCCCTCTAAACCCGTCCTATTCATATACCTATCCAGATGTTTTTTAAATGTTGTAATTGTACCAGCCTCCACCACTTCTTCTGGCAGCTCATTCTATACATACACCACCCTCTGCGTTAAAAAGTTAGCCCTTAGGTCCCTTTTAAATCTTTCCCCTCTCGCCTTAAACCTATGCCTTCTAGTTTTGGACTCCTCTATCTGGGGAAAAGACCTTGGCTATTCATCCTATCCATGCCCCTCGTTATTTTATAATCCTCCATAAGGTCACCCCTCAGCCCCCGATGCTTAAATGTGGTGGGCCTTTGTGATGCACCAATTGGGAGGCAACACTAACATTAAACTTCACCGATCGCCATCTTCACCCTCTTCTCTAATTGGGCGATTTCTTTTCTTCTTACATGTTAGTATCCGCAATTATAGAATGCCACCACAACAACACATCAACACGGCTATTTTCACAGAAGTACCCAAGTTAATTTATTAATAGTCAGTTTCATTTGACAATAAACATTCAGTCTTTTCTCAGGATGCTGTAAATGTGATTCTCAGGTTCTGTAACTTATTATCGAGTAATGAGTCATGTTGTACTGATCAAGCCTAGGAGAATTAATGCTGTCTACATCTTGTAGCAGTACCAACGCAAGCTCTGAAAATATGGGTCAGAAGTGAGCTCTTAGATGTTGATCACTGAGTAGCACACTTACTTCCAAGTCAGAAAGGCTATAAATTCATGTCCCAAAAGTCAAGGACTGCATCTACTGCAGTACTGAAGGGGTGCTACACTAATGGAGGTGCTACTTTTCAGATGAGACGATAAACTGAGGCCTTGCCTGTGCTCAAGCAGTTAACTATATAATAATTAAGTATTTAATTGTATTGTGGGCCTGAATGGGGCATCCTTGTACTGTGATATGTAGGAGTAGACTCACACTGGGGTGGTTGGGTTTGAAGGTGCATGTTTCTCTGTCCTTTAAAGTTTATAAAATGGGTAAAGATTAGGCTGCAGTTCTATCCTGGCTTTCTAGGTGGAACATCAGGCAGAAGATGAACAGCAAAGGAGCTCTGCTGTGAGTGCTGGCCAATGGTTACCTCTGAATTAATTTTGTAAGGACAGATGACCTGGTCATCGTCATATTACCAACAGTAATTGCTCTTCAAGAGTACCCCATTGGTTGTATGGTATTTTGGAACATTGTGAAGGGTGATCTATCAATGCAAGACTTTCCTCAAATTTCCTTCTTGTCCACATGTAAATGTGAGTATCACAACAGAGTCCGCTATTATATTCTCACATCAGCTTTCCTTATTTCCCCTCTGAACCATTTTGTCTGCCACCTTGTACCAAGTTGGGTCAAGTTACACTCACAAGCAATTGAGTTCAGCTTGCCCAACGCTATTTCATATGGGACCTCTATAACCAGTCAAAGGAAATGCTGGCACTTTAAGCCCAACAGGTTGCACTGAATCTGAAACCCAATTGTTCGGGAAAACGACAACATACTTAGTGTGCAACCTTGCCTATTGAGATCAATTGTGCAACTGTTGGATAGGTCAATATTCCACCTTTATTCTTATGGATTGATGCTTGATTTTGTTAGAGACTGTGGCTGTTTCATTCTCAGAAAATCCTTCATGTTTTATTTGAGTAACTGGCATGCCTGATTGCTCCTTTTTCTGAGATTGAACCCAAGCTCCAGGGTATCCCAATTTTCCTTGGAGAGCTTCTGGATTATACTACCATATCGTATTGGCATCTGACCACAGCTAAGAGAAAAAGAAGGATCAACAGACTGTACAGCCGGGTCCAGCTGGAGAGCAGATGTGGACACCCACCCTGATCTGTATTCTCTTAGTAGCAGGACACTGCACACCCACAAGCACTGCAAAAATAGAGAGAAACCCTGTGGACTTCCAACTGTATCATCAGAGGAGTGTGATACTGATGGTGTGGCTCATAATCCATAAACTATCTCACCACAACTTCTCAGAAGAGAAGATTCAGAGAATATAGCCTGGGACAAACTGGGATTAAGAAACTCCTGAGATGTCACCTTAAGTCTAGGAACCCATTCTGCTTGGTGCTTGTATCGATGAAGATCTAGGGAATCTCACCAAAAGACAATGGTAGAGATGTGCGAAACCAGTGCAGGTCAAGGAGCAGAACCACAACATAGAACTGGAGGATCAACAATTGATTTTACCATGCCACAGAGAATATAAATTAAGTCTGAATTTCATATGAGCACTGCAACACCCAATACATAGATAGAACATGATATAAAGTCTGTGTGCCTTTGTGGAGATGCTATGTAGCATCTTAGAAGCCAATACTCACAAAGGTGGCACCCTGGAGAAATAGTTTCTAATCATTCTACCTTACCCAAGTCCACATAGTTAGTGACCAATGAGTACATTGACAATTAATGTTGCTTTTCTAGCTGCAGTAACAAGAAGAACACATGGCCACTAATATTACTGATGTGATCATATTTAACTTTTAACCTCATTCATATGTAAGCAGAATAGAGATGAGAAGTTCAGTGCACTTCTACATCATTGCATGGCTACGCATTTATAAAAATGTAATAAATAATTGTATGGATAGGGAAGGCATAAGAAAGGAGAGTCCTCACCTCTCACAATGTACATTACCTCCATCGAGAACAGGTTCCACAAGGCACAGCCACAAGATACAGTATAAGAGGCTGAGAGTCATTTCTACCAGGGCTACAAAGCCAGAAAGGCTTTAGAATTTAGTGAAGCTAGAAATAAGCAAATTTAGACAAATCTAATGAAAGAGTCTAGTAGAAGTAAAACCAAGAGAAATAAAAGATTTAAAAAGGACTGGGCTTCTGTAAATGAATCATGATCAAACTGGGATGATTTATAAAGGCTGATACCAACTTTATTTAAATATTTACAGAAAATAGTTCATTGTGTTTGAGCCTTCATGTTTTACCCCAAATGCAGCATGAAAACCCCATCTTAGTTTCAGATGATGGAAAAACCTAGAAAAATCTGACAGCTGGGTATTTTTATCAGGTGAGTGCTTTCAGTCTTAGTGATGGCACAGAAATGCAGTTGGAAGCTCATCTTGGGGCAAATATACATCCTTAAAACTTATTTCTTGTTGTCAAGAAGTTTAGTCATTCATTTTGTCTAAATTCCTGGGTTCATGGTTAAATCCTCAGACGCAATCATCTACAAATCTCATCAGCTATCCTCCCTCCTCCTTCCTTCTCATTTTATCGTGAAACACATCTATTGCCTTTCCTATTCACCAGCCAACTGAGGGGTGACCTTGTAGGGGTTTACGAAATGATGAGGGGCATAGGTAAGGTGAATAGCCAAGGTCTTTTTACTAGGGTGGGGGAGTCCAAAACTAGAGGGCATAGGTTTAAGGTGAGAGGGAAAAGATTTAAAGAGGACCTGTGGCATGCTTTTTTCATGGAGAGGGCGGTGTGTATCTGGAATGAACTGCCAGAGGAAGTGGTGGATGGAGTACAATTGCGACCTTTAAAAAGCATCTGAATGGATATATGAATAGAAAGAATTTAGATGGATATGGGGCAAATGGGACTACGTCAGATTGGAATATCTGGTTGGTATGTGTGAGTGAACCAAAGTCTGTTTCCATGCTGTATGACTCTATGACTCTAAGTCTTTATCAGTTATTCCAGAAGAATTTATGGTCTTTCATGTCGCT